CACCTACCTTCATCTGGCCATGAAGCATGGTGTCACCATTGAACAAAAGTTTCTGGTTGCAGGGCACACACAAATGAAGTGTGACTCCATGCATAGCCTCATTGAACGGCACATCATCAAAGATATTCACACTCCACGTGATTACATTGTCATCTTTGAGACTGCACGAATCCATCCATCCCCATACAAGGTGATTCAGCTATACCACAATGACTTCATGAAGTTATCTGGGGCCTATGTCACCAAGATTCGACCAGGTAAAAAAGTTGGTGACCCCACAGTCCATGACCTCCGGGCTCTCCAGTACTTGGCTGATGGTCGAATCCGGTACAAGTTGGATTTTTAGTCTGACTGGGAGGACCTGCCTCTGTGAATCAGCATCCCCGAAGAACCATTCCACTGGGTCCCACTCTTTCCTGCCCAATTGCCAATTACTCTCAGGAAATTCAATGACTTGCAGGCAATGAAACCAGTACTACCAAGAGTGGCCCACCAGTACTATGACAACCTCCCTCATCAATAGACAGTGTGAAAATGAGTTTGCACACCACCTGAGTGGAACTTCGATAAAGGGTGGGAAAGGAAAACAGTGGTTAAGGTTAGACATTAAGAAACAACTTGGTTAAGGTTGACAAGTTACACATATTGGTTATATTTAGGAGAATAAAAGCACTTTGGTTATGTGATGTTTGCATTTATATGTAAGAGAAAAAATGCCTATGTCATGGCATATTCTGCCTAAGTCACTTTTATTTGTTAGTTAATTGATGATGGGTCTTTTTCTTTTTGCATACTTGTTCGCACATCTGGTTGAATGTACTGTTACAATATCAATAAAAAATATCAATATGTTTTCTAAAAATTTTGTTTTTTCTTGTTTTCCAAAAAAATTGAAATATGACTTAGGCAATTATGCTATGAGGCTAACGAAATGTAAATGTCATTGTGTTGCTGAAGGAGAAAGAACAGCAAAGTCAATAGGTCTCATTGTCTGCAAACCATAGCTATTTGCACAAAATGCCATGTTAATCCATCCAATAATTATTTCAGTCTCCAAAGTGGTGGAACGATCGCCATACCCCTAGATCACATTGCATAGCTCACAAAAATAGTCATATTATCAACATGTTTTTGTTACTTTTAACAGTTTTATTTTAGTCATCATGGGTAAACGTAAGTAAAGTAGAGTACATTCAAATCAAGATATTTCTAGCTGGCTTGCAACCCTTTGTAATGTAAATAACAAGGTGCTGAGCTTAGCACTGCAGGTCTTGAATTTATTACTTAAAGGTTAAGAGAGCTGTCATTTAAAATGTCCACCAGGGAAAGTGTGCAGTCTCTTTACAAGGTGATAATATGGTCCGATAACACTGGAGAAGGTATGACAACCTATACACCATCTCACCCTGCACTCCTCATAACTCAACTTACTCACAGCTCCACACCTTGTGTTTAGAGTGCCACTCTAACCTTGAGGGCATAGTTTTGCTACCAGAGTGGAACATACCAATCTATGTTGAGATTCTCAGCTGTTTTACACTCCTGCTGTGGTCCTTTGTCTACAGACAAAGACAGGCTGGGCCAGCTGACATGAACAGTAACCTCTGTCAGACTGGTGCTGCACAGAGGTGTATGGAATCTGAAAATGTGAGTTGGGTAGAGGGGAGAATAAGTCTTCCTCTATGATCAGTTTGCCACACTTTTTGTATGTTTGTAGTGAACACTGTTTTCTCCCACATTTTCAGATTTGCTTAATCATGGTTGTTGTAGCACGCTGTCACTAAAAAGCCCATTACCTGGGCCGGAATTTCTTCTGCATGGTTTTCCAAAAGGCTCCCAGGGACAAATTAGACCATGGCTCCTGACTGAACGCATAATAGTCAATGCTTATGAATTGGATGTTTTTTTATCTCTATCTTTATCTAAGATTTTGCCCTATTATGTCTCACTCTATTTAAACTAATTTGACAGCTGGCTGGAATCATGGAAATGGCATACACACATTTTCCAAAATAATATTACTTTGTCTCCTTGTCTAAATGTGTTATCCATAGTGAAGCTCTAAGATCATTTGAAGACCTCTGAAAAAAAATATAATTTCATCAGCTTCTTTTTTCTATCTACAGTTGAGGTTAGTTATTAAGCATGTAGACAGCAGATATTGTAAAAAAAACACCCACATCCATTCATAGATCAGTGACTGATCTACTGACTTTCCTGCTTTAACCACATTAACAGCTACAGTAACAGTAACAGCATGAATATTGGCCTGCATTCGACAGGGTTTTAATTTTCTCTTCATTAGTCAGGACTGTGTCACAGTTGGTGCTGTGACACTTGGGAGTGTGTTCCTTTTTTTTTCCTGTGGTGTTCTGTGTGTGGGTGTGTGTGTGTGTTATGCCTGGTAGTGAGCGGATCACCTGGTGGAGTTACACACCTGCTGGCAATCCTCATCAGCGCCTGGCCTTAAGATGTGGGGCTTCCTGAGACTCGTCGCCAGATTATTCCTTACCTTCTCATGGTTGAGTACTTCAGGCCAATTTAGACTCCTGAGTATTTGGTTAGTTTTGAGTGAGTTTCTCTGTTTCGCTTTGTTTTGTGCCACTGTCCAGGACTGCCTGCCCCTGCTCTCACCTCGCCCTTTTCCACACACTTCTACTTGTTACTTAATTCTTTGTGAATAAACTCTTGACCTTAACCCGCCCCCGAGTGTCCTGTATCCGCACCCCGGTCCACGGTCCTACCAAACACAACAGAATAATCTGGCCACATTATGGACCCTGTGGGTACAGATGCTCTCAGACAAGCCTTGGCTCTACAAGGACAAATAGTTGGACAGATGGAAGGAGTTTTTCCCGAGGTAATGGACACTTTGCGCAACTTAACACTTACAGTCAGTCAACTGGACTCTAGGCTACAAACTGTTATGGCTGCCCTGCCTACACCATCCGCAGCTGCCTCCTCAACTTCCGCCACACCCGAGCCACCCACTACCCCCGCCCCTTCTGGACGTGAACCGTTCTTCCCCACACCGGAACGATATTCAGGTACCCTAGGAGTGCGGGCAGTTCATTGTGCAATGTTCTCTGGTTTTCCAACAACAACTTCACACCTATGTCACTGATCAAGCTAAGATAGCCTCAAGTGTCCTGTATCCACACCCCGGTCCACGGTCCTACCAAACATAACAGACTGTTTCTGATAGATACCATGCAGGTTCCCTCAGTCCCACACTTCTTGCAGTAACAATAAACTTCTTGCTTATGGAATAATATTAGGCCGATATCAAAAACACAAGATGGTGCAGTGCCATGACATTTATATTCTTTAATATTAACACTACTCACCACCTGGGGTATGGGGCGCTAACACACAGGATTGGTTCAACAGGTGGGGGAAGGCAACAATGGACCAGCAGAGCAAAATAAAGAGCTGTCAAGCAAATCTACATTAAGGAAACGCTAACTTAATTGACAGAATGAATCTTTAACATAAATAAACAACCAAAAAAAGTAACTGGTCATAAACCAAAAGTACGGGGAAAATGGAAATTTTACCTGATCATGGTGCAATATGCAAAGTCTGCAGATCTGTCTAGGGACCCTGAATATCTGGAGAGATTTTACCAGCAGTCCATCCAATAGAGATATTATATATTTCACTGTGAACAACAAATGTCAGCCTCATGGTGGGGACTCACAGGTCAAGCTTTAAAACTGTGTAACATCTATGAGTATCTATGAGTCTTGATATTATAAATGTGATGAAACATAACTGTATCTGTGTGGCTGAAGAACCAGAGTGAGAGGGCCAAAGAGAAGTGGTGCAGTGGTGGAATGTAAATTGAAGTTGTGAACAGAGTGTAGAGAAAAAGCTGAGAACTGTAAATAGACAGGGGAAGTTGGTTTCTTGGTTCTGTCAACAAGTACTTCTGCAGGATTATCATGTAGTGACTGTAGCCACAGAGCACTCTGCAACAAAATATCTTGAGTACACAACTCAGTCCTTTAGTAAGTATTACTAAATAATCATATTATTAAATAGCTTTACACCACTTGTTCATAAAATATATGAAATTCAGCAGCATTAGATCTAAATCTTTTTCTCGTATGACTTAGTGCCCTTTAAAATATCTGGATCACAATATTTGACCTAACAATCATAGCTGGTAAGAATTTAGCTGCATGAAAAGCAGCTCTGCATAAAGGTGGTGACTGATGAACTATTTCCCAGAAACCTCTCATCCCTTGTGATGATTGATAGATGATGATGAACTACATGCAGATCTTTTTCACAGTTATGACCGCAAATCAATACAGCAGCAGCTACCCTTGTATTAACTTATATTATCATACATTTCCTACTTAGGTGAAGTTTTTTTGCAAGTTTGTGTAATAAAACACTGGTTATGTGTACTGATGCTCTCAAATCATCTTCTTTTGTAATAACTTAAACACCCTTGGTATATTACATATCTACATTCTATCTACTGTTCAGCTAAATCTTAGCTATATTGTGTAAAGTACATGAAGTTAGTTTAAAACAGAGGGTGAGTTTGTGTGGATGACAGGGGAATTAGCTTTTATTTCCTCTCCTTTGCCTGCAATGAAAGTGCATATATACGTCTGACACTGCCCAGTTGCTCAATTTGGAGTTGATTACAGAAGAGTTGCTTGACCTCCGCAGTCTCAAAGGCCAGAAAAGAGCAGTGGATTTTTTTTGACAGTTTAAATATGTCACTATTGTAATTCATGTAATATTTAATATGAAACACAATAAAGCATACATGTTTGTAGTGAGTGATGTGACAAAAAAATGACATTAAAGAATAAATAATAATTATTCATCATTCGTCATTTGTACCCTGATGAGGTTGAGATGCAACAAAAGCTGACTTCCTCACTCACAGTGTGCAAACAGGAAGGGTGAAGACTTCTTGTACTGCTGCAGTATTTTAGTCGTGTGATATCTAGTTTGAAACAAGAAGTCTGTTTGCTTTTATGTTACAGCGGCTTAGCAGGGAAGTCTGTTTCAGTTCTGCTGAAATTCACAGATTGTCTGATTTTAAAACTAATTGTTTCTCCGGTTTATCTGCAGGCTCGTTTGGTAAGGTCAAATGTTACTGCTTTTTATGTTTGAACTTTTTAACCCAGAGAGTTTTTATTTTGTTGCTTTTCATGAACTCCACTGAAAAAGACATGATATATTTTATTTGTTGGGTTTTGTTTTAGCAGAAATGATCCTCAAAGAAATGAGAAGTTTCTTCAGTAACATTTTATTTGAACTATAATAACATAAACTCAGACTGGATCATTCTGATTTTATATTGAAACTGTTTTCAGAGCAACTCTGCAGATATTATTCATCACTACTTATAACACAGTAACATCTGGTTGGACATGGCAAGTTCCTGGTTTGAATGTGTGAATCTGAGGTTGCTTTAAAACAACATGAAGGATTTGTTTCAAAGATACTTTGATTCAAATATTGAAAAGTGAAATGTTTTATATAGAAATTGTTAACAGGACAGGGAAAAAGACCAGCATGCAACACACTGCTGATTTGTTTATCATGAACTTTCTCTTCATGCTGATTTTTTCCACATTTTGTTCATCATGAGTCTGATTTTACAGGTGCTTTGGCTGATTGTCCTAATCCAGCTGGCCTCTTCATCACTACACTACAGAAGATGGAAGCACTGAGTGGATCTTGTTTGCAAATCCCATGTAACTTTAGTGCTGAACCAGAACAAGATTGTAATAGCAGCAGAGAAACCTTTGGAGTGTGGATCAAAAATGACCCTAAATTTGGCGACAATCCAAGCAATGTGATTTTCAACAGTAGTAAGACAGTTAACACGTATCCAATGAATATTACTGGAAACCTGAGTCAGAAAAACTGCACCACTCTGTTTTCCAGTTTAATCACAAGTTATACAGACACATACTACTTCAGAATCATGAACTGGCCTTTCAGAGCAACAGCTGTTTGTGATCCTCTTCAAATAAAAGTTAAAGGTGAGAGAGCTTTGTTTCTTTCGTCAGTCTATAATGTTATTGTTTAAAATAAAAAGTGAAATCAGTTACAGTTTTGGTCTAAACAGCACACTTTATCAATTTGGAGGTTTTTCACTTTACCATGAATTTAAATTCTGATTAAACAATGAGTCTATTGTTACAGTTGACATTAAAATGGTCAAATTCTGAGACACTGAAAAGCAGAACAAATTGTTATTTATACTTTAATAAGTTTCAGTACAGAAGTATCAGCTTCTGGGACAGTAGTAATTGTAATCTTTATGTTTTTTCTTTTGTATACAATGTGTTTGATTTAAATCACAGATTCTCCTCCGAGCCCCAGAATTGAGATCTCAGGTGATCTGAAGGAGAAGCAGTCTGTCACTATAACCTGCTCAGCTTTCACTCCCTGTCCACACTCCCCTCCTAAACTCACCTGGAATCTCCAACAAGACTCTCACAACCAAATAGAGGAAAACACAGATGGAACCTTCACAACTAAAATCCAGGAGAGCTTCACTCTGTCAGACCAACATGATGGATACAACATCACCTGTTCTGTCAGATATCCTGTGAATGAAGGAAAAGATAACAAGACAGCAGAGGAGAGAAAGACTCTCAGTGTTTCATGTAAGACAACCAGAGTTTGTTATTGGATCCTGTCAGCACATGATGATTCATGGGATATCAGCTGATTTTTAATGAATAAAGTTAATCTCACATTTTCCTCAGATGCTCCTAAAAATACCTCAGTGTCCGTCAGTCCATCAGGTTTGGTGTCAGCAGGTAGCTGGGTGAACCTGACCTGCTCCAGCAGAGCCAAGCCTCCCGTCAGCCGCTTCACCTGGTTCAAGAACAGCAAAGATGGACCCATGATTGTATCTGAAGGACCGTTTTACAGCTTCAATGTGACAGATGGAGGAGTTTATTACTGTGTGGCCACAAATGCTCTCGGCAATGAAACATCATCAGAGATCAATCTGACCGTTAAATATACTTTAATCCATGAATGTACATCTTATCTGCTCTTTTCTCTTTTCTCTTTTTTCTGCTGTATGCTTTACTCTGTGTTCGTTGCAGTACCCTGTTGAGCATTTAAACTTAAATTAATGTTAACTTTACATTTCCACATGAAATCATGTCTTCTTTTCATCACTCAGTATTTCTTTATTTTTGGCCTTTTTATGCCTTTATTTTGATAGAGACAGCTGAAGATCGACAGGAAAGGGGGGCAGAGAGAGAGGGGACGTCACGCAGCAAAGGGCCGCAGGTCGGACCCGAGCCCGGGCCGCCGTAGCAACTCCACACATGGGTCGTCAGCTCCACCAACTGAACCAACCGGGCTCCCCATCACTCAGTATGTCATATTGGTCTTATTTTGTACCAGAGCCTCCTGTTAGCTCTCCACAATGGGGAAAAGTTCTTGGAGGAATCATTGGGATCATTGCACTGCTCTGCCTGGTTGTCTGTGTTTGGTAAGTATCACAAATAAAAGCAGTTTGACTTGGCTCAGTTAATGACGCTGACATTTTATGTAGCCTTCACACGTTATAATATCTGTTTCCTATTAGTCTTGAGACTTTATGGACACACTGTATATTTAACATGTTATAATAAATAACAACCTCTCATGTCTTCCAGGCGTTTAAAGTCAACACGTCCAACTCCACAACAGACTGAGGTGTGAAAACACTACAGAACTTTAGCTGTATCGTACTGCACTGTGTTCAGACTGTTCAGACAATGATTTACTGTAATGTCTTTATCAGAGCAGTTGCTGGACTTGCTGGAATTTAAAATGGGTCTATCATTATTTAATATTGAAGGATCTATGTTTTTTGTTTGGTTTGTGTTTTTGCAGAGTCAAACAGGTTGCAGAGTCAGCAATAAAAACAGAAGAAGAGGAAGAAAACATCCATTATGGAGAGATTGACTTTTCCAAGAGGAGACCTGAACTGTCCTCTGACTCAGTGTAGGACAGTGGACAGCAGCAGGAAACGCTGTATGCACAGGTCAAAGTATCCTAGCCAGCAAACAGATTAACACACACTGCTGATGGTCCAGAGAATCTCAAAAATTAAAAAAATAAAAATGGTAGTAGGATTGACAGTATATATAATGGACAAAGCTTCCGGGTCTGAAAAGTGAAGCGTGTCTTAAAACCTACATTCTATCTCAATTCCAGCAGGGGGAGCTCCATTAGCTGCAATAACACATTGATACCATTCACTCTAATGGAGAATGAGCTGACTTGACACTTCCTTTATGAGCTCAGTAAACAGTTTCCTGATGAGTTTAGGGTCTCAGTTTCACATCTTCTTCAATACATTATGTTGTTCATTCAGTAAATTATGGTCCAATTTAATTTGAAATAGAAGATAATACCGCATATGCTTTTAGACTGGGCTACCTTATAATTGACAGGTCACTCAGTGAGTCCGTCTAGTGTAGAGCATGAAATTCAGATCAAACTGTCAAACTAGGCAGTGGTGATCAAATACGAAGCAAAAAAAGGGACTCTTTAAGTCAATATAATGAGAAACCTTCTCAAAATAATGACTAAGTATCTCAATATTTTTGACTTAGTATCTCAATATTGAGATTTAGTAGAGATTTTCCGTTGTGCCTGTAATCAAGGATAGTTGTGTGGTTCATTAAATTTAAGAACCACTTATATTAATATACTAATTTTGCATCCTGCTGGCCAAATCACTGTGATACAAACAAGCTAATCCTCAGTTTAAACCTATCAAGCCAAATAAGTCTCATTACTCTGCCTCAAAAGTGCAAAACATCTACTTTTAGTACAATCTGTACAATCCTGTAGTTTAATTGAACAACGGGCTGTGGGTGATGATTCTCTCCAAAGTCTACACTGCCACCTAATGGCTTAGTAGTTAAGTCCTTAAATTATTTCATTTTTTATGATATATGGCAGCTCATGATGCTGCTCTCTGTGTTGTAAAATTAAGCATGAGCACGAGGTCTACTGTATTTGAGCGTGTATGATGAAAGAGAGCGGTTGTGCCAAACAGATGAGAATTTTGACTAAATAGAGGAAGTTGGTCAGTTGGCTTCTTAATGCCATTCCCACTGTGTTTTTGCAAAACGTCTTAATCATTAAGTAGTTTTGTGTTCATTATATTTCATTGTCAGTAAGGCGTCATTTTAAAGTCTTGCTAATCAGTATCTTAATTTCATTGTGAAATAAATTACCACTGGGCTTACTTTGGGTACACACACACCGGGCTTCTGAAAACATTTTCACTTTGTTTGCCATTAGTGATTGTGTAAAGGTAACCAGGTTTGAACCCAAGAACGACTCGAAGAAAGGCTTGTTAGTTCAAGTTTTCTCTCCTCACCTATATACATAAACGAGGGCTCATGAATCAAATGAAAACAGCAGTAATTCAAGATATGAAGTGTCTATGTTAATTGCCAAATGTGGCAAACCTTTTACAAAGGGTGAGTTTATGTGAGTGACAGGGGAATAAACATTGATTTCTTCTCTTTTGCCTGCAATGAAAGTGCAAATATATGTCTGACACTGCCCACTTGCTCAATTTGGAGTTGCTGATTCCAGAAGAGTTGCTCGACCTCTGCAGTCTCAAAGGCCAGACAAGAGCAGTGGATGTATTTGACTCAGAAATGCGAACATCGTAAAGAAAATGCTGAGCTTGTTCGATTCATATTTGTATTAGACATTCACTGTTATGAACTTGAACTAACAGATCACCCATCGATGTTTGTGTATTTTTGGTAATCCTAAACAACAGAGCAGTAATAATTAACATATAATAAGTTCATATATTACCGTTAACTTCACTCCAGCCTTATTCCACTTCATTACTTTGTCATCACACTGTTAGACTGACCACTGTGACATCTCCAGACCAAATCCTCCAAGTATTGATTTGATTTTATTGATATTCCTTTTCTGTATTATCATGGAGAAACACATTCTTGTGAGTGGAGCTCTTTGACCATCTAGTGGTGACTCAGTGTAGTTCAACACAACTGCTGTATAAAGTGTTTGACTACACTGCTCAGTCAGTCAGTCAATCAGTATGCCTGTCAGTAAGATGTTTTATATATAGACTATTGACTATATATTTTTGTATTGATCATGTTTATATAAAGGGGTATATCACATTTAATGCTATGCTACTTTTTTTTGTAGTGTGGTGATTTCTTTCAATTTTTTTAAAATACAAGGAACATGAGAAAAGTGGTGCAATCAGGACTAATGTATTCTTTATTCCACTCATGTTGCATGGGGAAAAGAGAAACTAAAATACTACAATTTACATTGCTGAAGATACTGTTAAAGGCTTCACTCCTCGTCATGTGCTTTCTGTACAAAGAAGAAATATTAGCTAGATTAGCTACAAATTATGTTTTATTATATTTTCCTTTCTTGGAGATAATTATTTTCTCGTTTCATGGTCTCCAGATGATCCAGAGATTCTTCATAAGAGTTCTTCAGTTTGAAGAGCTCAGTGCTGAGAGATTGCGCCTCTTTCTGAGCACCTTCCAGCTCAGTCTGGGACTCCTCATACTTCTGCTTCCACTCAGCAAGGACCTGGTTAAATTGTATATTTAATTATGTTGTACACTTTCACATTCAGATGGTAATCTCTAATTATGCATATAAAACAATGCATAAAGCAATGAGTAATAATGCAAAGTGTCCCTTACATTTTATATGTCATTATCTTGTCAAAGTTTCTTGTCGAGAGCTGCAGAAGCAGCATTTGGTCTCTCCACATCCACCATGAGATCTTCAATCTCACCCTGAAGCCTGTGTTCCTCCAGGGGAGATATTGGGACATTGAGAGTGGGCAACCTCCCACTGTTCTATAATTTACTGAATCCTTACTTTGCTTCTTCCAGCTCCTCTGTGCTTTGTATGGCATCAGTTTCGTACTTTGTTCTCCACTGAGCAACTGGGGGACCAAGGAGTCCTTCTCCTCCAACTGCCTGGCAAGCTCACCTAATATGAAGGTTTGTAAGCCCCCATATCAAGCTTCAATTTATGTTTAGCTATATTAGTTTGCACCCTATACTATTAGAAATGTTAAAGAAAAATGCCCATATCTTTATTTTCTAAACATAATGTTATTGTAACACTTGGGAGTGCATGGAATAAGTTGAGTGGCTTATTCCACTGCACAGAGAGATGCTGATAAAGCCTCTGCAGCCAGCTGTGATAGGCACACAGTAAGCACACCATCTTCAGCTAGGCACACAGGAACAGAGCCATCAGGAACATCACTGATGCCACAGAACTGAACATAGGACCTGTGGACCACACACATGGTACTTGGACACAAGTTTGGGCCTTATCAGTCCTGGCCTGATCACCTAGGCAGTGGCGTTTAATACGAGCGTTACATCACTGATCATTGTGTGCATGATTTTTGAAAGAGCAATAAATTAGCTTTTCTTGTCTTAGTTTGAATTCTCCATACTGAATCCTGTTGGGGAATCCCTTCCTTCAGATTCTATTGCCCTCCACCACACCTTTACAGCACAGCTGGTGCAAGTTGGTCATCAGTTTGTTCAAGTTTTCATGTAAATGGAGAAAATGAATAGTAACCAGTTCCATACAGTGAAATTAGGACATGACCTAAACTTTAGACATATTTTACCCTATGCAGTGCAGACACAGTGTGGAAGGAATAACCTTTCTTCTTTGCTCCCTTTCCTCCCTTGCCTCCTGCATCCTGGGCTATGTAGATGTTGTAAATAAAGTACATAAGTCTGATAGTTTTTTTTTCTTCTTTCGTGTTATCGTGGATAATTTAGGGATGAATAATTGCTGTCAGATCTCTTACCTGAATCTGCACCAGCATACCCCTTCAAAAGCCAGTTAATTATGTTGTCATCAACAATACTAGTATTTTGAACCAGGGAGAAATTAGCTTTTTTTTTCCCCTTAACAACTGTGGGCTTTCGGAAGTTGCAACTTTTACCCAGATGGTTGTCATACAGTTTGGCTTTAAATGTTGCGTCACTGGCTTTGGGGAACATGCACTCCTCTTCAAGGATTGACATGATGCCCATGGGCTGAGGGAAAACATTGATTAGAATTAATTGAATGTAAACAAGTCAAAAAGAATAGTTTATGTTTGAAATTAAATTTAACTCTTCACTCACCTTTTCAATGAGTTCAATGCAGACTGCCAGGTCCATGCCAAAGTCAATGAACTCCCACACAATGCCCTCTTTCTTGTACTCTTCTTGTTCCAGGACAAACATGTGGTGGTTGAAGAACTGCTGCAGCTTCTCATTAGTATAGTTGATGCACAGTTGCTCAAAGGTGTTGGACTAGGAGGAGCATTCAAAGAGAGAAGTTAATAAAAGTAGATTTTCTAGTCTCATGTCCATAAAACCTTTTATACTCACATCAAATATCTCAAATCCAGCAATGTCCAGCACACCAATGAAGTACTGGCGAGGTTGCTTGGTGTCCAGAGATTGGTTGATTCTCACCACCATCCACAAGAACATTTTCTCGTACACTGACATGGACAGTGCACCAATTAAGTAGGATACCTAGATAATTGCATGCAATCAAATACATCAAAATTCAAACTCACTTTATTATTAAGCCCCAATGGATTTCATTGCAGTGCCTCTATTCAACTTACTTGCTGCACATTCTGACCTTTGGTGACCCACTCGTTGCTTACTTTTTCTCTTGGGTGACACAGGCCCTTGATGAGATCAGCAGAGTTCAAGCCCATCAGATATGCAACTTTGTCCACATCTGTGTAGTAAAAGCATTTACTACATTATTTTGGGTCAAAAAGGCTCAAATTGGTTTGATGATTTTTACCCTCTGTTCAATCTGGCTCTGGTTGCGCTTCTCTCTGCTTCTGTTTGAACTTCTTGTTTCCTTAATGTATAATGGCACCAGTCTATCTATAAATGCTGTTCTTCTCCTCTTGGGTGAAGCCCAGAACATCAAAAGTGTCCTTAAACATTGGAATTATATTTGAGTAAATTGTGATGTATGTATAGAGTTTTTAACAGCAGTTTGTTTCTTTCATTCCATAGGATTGGTTCAACCAGTGATGGAAGGCAACAATGGACCAGCAGAGCAATACAAAGACCAGTCAACCAAATCTGCAGTAAGAAAAGTAAGCTAAGTAAATTGACAAAATGAATCTTAAACATACATGAACAACCAAAAAAACAACACAGCAGAGACAGGATCCGAGCCCAAAAGAGAAAGCATCAGCCAGCAGGTGGTTTATATAACCTGACCTGATTAGGAGGTTTGGGAGGAGTCAGGCATGGGGCTGACACTATTACTGTACTCACCTAAAATAGGGGAGCATTCCCCACCACACATTTGCTTATGAGCACAGAGAAAAGCTGAGGCTGATGTAAAAAATGTTTTACCTGATCATGGCGCAATATGCAAAGTCTGCAGATCTCTCTAGGCACCTTGAATATCTATATTTTACCAGCAGTCCATCCAATAGAGATATTATATATTTCGTTGTGAACAACAAATGTCAGCCTCATGGTGGGACTCACAGTTCAATCTCTAGAACAGTGTAACATATCTGTGAGTCTTGATATTATAAATGTGATGAAACATAACTGTATCTGTGTGGCTGAAGAACCAGAGTGAGAGGGCCAAAGAGAAGTGGTGCAGTGGTGGAAAGTAAATTGAAGTTGTGAACAGAGTGTAGAGAAAAAGCTGAGAACTGTAAATAGACAGGGGAAGTTGGTTTCTTGGTTCTGTCAACAAGTACTTCTGCAGGATCATAATGTAGCAACTGTAGCCACAGAGCACTCTACAACAAAATGTCTTGAGTACACAACTCAGTCCTTTAGTAAGTATTACTAAATAATCATATTATTAAATAGCTTTACACCACTTGTTCATAAAATATATGAAATTCAGCAGCATTAGATCTAAATCTTTTTCTCGTATGACTTAGTGCCCATTAAAATATCTGGATCACAATATTTGACCTAACAATCATAGCTGGTAAGAATTTAGCTGCAAGAAAAGCAGCTCTGCATAAAGGTGGAGACCTGATGAACTATTTCCCAGAAACCTCTCATCCCTTGTGATGATTGATAGATGATGGTGAACTACATGCAGATTTCTTCACAGTTATGACCGCAAATCAATACAGCAGCAGCTACCCTTGTATTAACTTATATTATCATACATTTCCTACTCAGGTGAAGTTTTTTTGCAAGTTTGTGTTTCCTCTCCTTTGCCTGCAATGAAAGCGCATATATACAACTGGCACTGCCCAGTTGCTCAATTTGGAGTTGCTGATAACAGAAGAGTTGCTTAACCTCCGCAGTCTCGAAGGCCAGAAAAGAGCAGTGGATTTTTTTGACAGTTTAAATATGTCACTATTGTAATTAATGTAATATTTAATATGCAACACAATAAAGCATATATGTTTGTAGTGAGTGATGTGACAAAAAAAATGACATTAAAGAATAAATAATAATTATTCATCATTCGTCATTTGTACCCTGATGAGGTTGAGATGCAACAAAAGCTGACTTCCTCACTCACAGGGTGCAAACAGGAAGAGCAAAGACTTCTTGTATTTCAGCAGTATTTTAGTCGTGTGATATCTAGTTTGAAACAACAAGTCTGTTCGCTTTTATGTTACAGAGGCTTAGCAGGGAAGTCTGTTACTGGGTCTGTTGCAGTTCTGCTGAAATTCACAGACTGTCTGATTTTAAAACTAATTGTTTCTCCGGTTTATCTGCAGGCTCGTTTGGTAAGGTCAAATGTTACTGCTTTTTATGTTGGAACTTTTTAACCCAGAGTTTTTATTTTGCTGCTTTTCATGAACTCCACTGAAAAAGACATGATATATTTTATTTGTTGGGTTTGTTTTAGCAGAAATGATCCTCAAAGAAATGAGAAGTTTCTTCAGCAACATTTTATTTGAACTATAATATCATAAACTCAGACTGGATCATTCTGATTTTATATTGAAACTGTTTTCAGAGCAACTCTGCAGATATTATTCATCACTACTTATAACACAGTAACATCTGGTTGGACATGGCAAGTTCCTGGTTTGAATGTGTGAATCTGAGGTTGCTTTAAAACAACATGAAGGATTTGTTTAAAAGATGCTTTGATTCAAATATTGAAGAGTAACTTTTTTTCAAATCCAGGTGATGAGTGTGATTGCAGTCCTGTCTGTGAATATGGTGACAGCCAACATGTTACTGAGTGTCTTCTTTCTTTCAGGTGAGCTGTTTGTTCAGTCACTTTTATTTGGAGACGTTAATCATTTACAGTTTGGACTTCATTTAGAAACAAAGCAGAAAGACCAGTGCAGATAGAGTTACTTTTTCCAACTGTTCATGTCCTGACTGCAAAGTGAAATGTTTTATATAGAAATTGTTAACAGGACAGGGAAAAAGACCAGCATGCAACACACTGCTGATTTGTTTATCATGAACTTTCTCTTCATGCTGATTTTTTCCACATTTTGTTCATCATGAGTCTGATTTTACAGGTGCTTTGGCTGATTGTCCTCCACACACAAACCTCTTCATTACTACTCCACAGAATATGGAAGCACTGACTGGATCTTGTTTGCAAATCCCATGTAACTTTAGAGCTAAATCCGAACAAGAGTTTGACGGCAGTAAACAAACCTTTGGAGTTTGGATAAAAAATAATTCCTATTTTGGCAATAATCCAAACAATGTGATTTTCAACAGTAGTAAGACAGTTAACACGTATCCAATGAATATTACTGGAAACCTGAGTCAGAAAAACTGCACCACTCTGTTTTCCAGTTTAATCACAAGTTATACAGACACATACTACTTCAGAATCGTGAACTGGCCTTTCAGAGCAACAGCTGTTTGTGATCCTCTTCAAATAACAGTTAAAGGTAAGAGAGCTTTGTTTCTTCCAGTCAGTCTATAATGTTATTGTTTAGAATAAAAAATAAAATCAGTTGCAGTTTTGGCCTAAACAGCACACTTTATCAATTTGAAGGTTTTCACATTGAATTTAAATTCTGATTAAGTGTATTGTTACAGATTGACATTAAAATGGTGAAAAACTGAAAAGCAGAACAACCTGTTATTTACAGTGGGTACGGAAAGTATTCAGACCCCTTTAAATTTTTCACTCTTTGTTTCATTGCAGCCATTTGCTAAAATCAAAAAAGTTCATTTTATTTCTCATTAATGTACACTCAGCACCCCATCTTGACAGAAAAAAACAAATTTTTAATAAATTTGCAAAAATTTCCACATTTATTAAAAAAGAAAAACTGAAATATCACATAGTCATAAGTATTCAGACCCTTTGCTCAGTATTGAGTAGAAGCACCCTTTTGAGCTACTACAGCCATGAGTCTTCTTGGGAATGATGCAACAAGTTTTTCACACCTGGATTTGGGGATCCTCTGCCATTCTTCCTTGCAGATCCTTTCCAGTTCTGTCAGGTTGGATGGTGAACGTTGGTGGACAGCCATTTTCAGGTCTCTCCAGAGATGCTCAATTGGGTTTGGGTCAGGGCTCTGGCTGGGCCAGTCAAGAATGGTCACAGAGTTGTTCCGAAGCCACTCCTTTGTTATTTTAGCTGTGTGCTTAGGGTTATTGTCTTGTTGGAAGGTGAACCTTCGGCCCAGTCTGAGGTCCTGAGCACTCTGGAAGAGGTTTTCTTCCAGGATATCTCTGTACTTGGCCGCATTCATCTTTCCTTCAATTGCAACCAGTCGTCCTGTCCCTGCAGCTGAAAAACATCCCCATAGCCTGATGCTGCCACCACCATGTTTCACTGTTGGGATTGTATTGGGCAGGTGATGAGCAGTGCCTGGTTTTCTCCACACATACCGCTTAGAATTAACGCCAAAAAGTTCAATCTTGGTCTCATCAGACCAGAGAATCTTATTTCTCATAGTCTGGGAGTCCTTCATGTGTTTTTTGGCAAACTCTATGCAGGCTTTCATATGTCTTGCACTGAGGAGAGGCTTCCGTCGGGCCACTCTGCCATAAAGCCCCGACTGGTGCAGGGCTGCAGTGATAGTTGACTTTGTGGAACTTTCTCCCATCTCCCTACTGCATCTCTGGAGCTCAGCCACAGTGATCTTTGGGTTCTTCTTTACCTCTCTCACCAAGTCTCTTCTCCCACGATTGCTCAGTTTGGCTGGACGGCCAGGTCTAGGAAGAGTTCTGGTCGTCCCAAACTTCTTCCATTTAAGGATTATGGAGGCCACTGTGCTCTTAGGAACCTTGAGTGCTGCAGAAATTCTTTTGTAACCTTGGCCAGATCTGTGCCTTGCCACAATTCTGTCTCTGAGCTCCTTGGGCAGTTCCTTCGACCTCATGATTCTCATTTGCTCTGACATGCACTGTGAGCTGTAAGGTCTTTTATAGACAGGTGTGTGCCTTTCCTAATCAAGTCCAATCAGTTTAATTAAACACAGCTAGACTCTAATGAAGGAGCAGGACCATCTCAAGGAGGATCAGAAGAAATGGACAGCATGTGAGTTAAATATGAGTGTCACAGCAAAGGGTCTGAATACTTATGACCATGTGATATTTCAGTTTTTCTTTTTGAATAAATTTGCAAAAATTTCTACATTTCTGTTTTTTTCTGTCAAGATGGGGTGCTGAGTGTACATTAATGAGAAATAAAATTAACTTTTTTGATTTTAGCCAATTGCTGCAATGAAACAAAGAGTGAAAATTTTAAAGGGGTCTGAATACTTTCCGTACCCACTGTATACTTTATGTGGTTTCATTACAGAAGTATCAGCTTCATCTGTTTGATTTAAACCTTTAGATTCTCCTCCGAGCCCCAGAATTGAGATCTCAGGTGATCTGAAGGAGAAGCAGTCTGTCACTATTACCTGCTCAGCTTTCACTCCCTGTCCACACTCCCCTCCTAAACTCACCTGGAATCTCCAACAAGACTCTCACAACCAAATAGAGGAAAACACAGATGGAACCTTCACAACTAAAATCCAGGAGAGCATCACTCTGTCAGACCAACATGATGGATACAACATCACCTGTTCTGTCAGATATCCTGTGAATGAAGGAAAAGATAACAAGACAGCAGAGGAGAGAAAGACTCTCAGTGTTTCATGTAAGACAACCAGAGTTTGTTATTGGATCCTGTCAGCACATGATGATTCATGGGATATCAGCTGATTTTTAATGAATAAAGTTAATCTCACATTTTCCTCAGATGCTCCTAAAAACACCTCAGTGTCCGTCAGTCCATCAGGTTTGGTGTCAGCAGGTAGCTGGGTGAACCTGACCTGCTCCAGCAGAGCCAAGCCTCCCGTCATCCGCTTCACCTGGTTCAAGAACAGCAAAGATGGACCCATGAATGTATCTGAAGGACCGTTTTACAGCTTCAATGTGACAGATGGAGGAGTTTATTACTGTGTGGCCAAAAATGATATCGGCAATGAAACATCATCAGAGATCAATCTGACTGTTAGAAGTAATCTATGAATGTACATCTTATCTGCTCTTTCCTATTTTTCTCTTTTTTTCTTCTGTATGCTTTACTTTGTGTTTGTTGCAGTACCCTGTTGAGCATTTAAACTTAAATTAATGTTAACTTTACATTTCCACATGAAATCTTCTTTTCATCACTCAGTATTTCATATTGGTCTTGTTTTCTACCAGAGCCTCCTGTTAACTCTCCACAATGGGGAAAAGTTCTTGGAGGAATCATTGGGATCATTGCACTGCTCTGCCTGGTTGTCTGTGTTTGGTAAGTATCACAAATAAAAGCAGTTTACAGTCTACATTTCCCATCAGTCTTGACACCTTATGGACACACTGTATATTTAACACGTTATAATTAATAACAACCTCTCATGTCTTCCAGGCGTTTGAAGTCGACACGCCCAACTCCACAACAGACTGAGGTGTGAAAATACTACAGAACTTTAGCTGTGTTTTGAATGTTTTACATCTGTTCACACTGGCTGTGTAGTTTACCAGACTCACAGTTCAGACAATGATTTAGTGTAATGTCTTTGTCAGAGCAGTCTCTGTGCTGTGTCTGATTTTGTCCAAATCAAACTCCACTTAATTAATTTAGGATTGGTCTGTAATTATTTAATATAGAAGGATCTATGTTTTTTATTTGGTTTGTGTTTTTGCAGAGTCAAACAGGTGAAGAGCTGACTGTTGCAGAGCCAGCTAGGAAAACAAGAGAAGAAGAAGAAGAGGAAGAAAACATCCATTATGGAGAGATCGACTTCTCCAAGAGGAGACCTGAACCGTCCTCTGACTCAGTGCAGGACAGTGGACGGCAGCAGGAAACGCTGTATGCACAGGTCAAAGTATCCAAGCCAGCAAACAGATTAACTCACACTGCTGATGGTCCAGAGGATATTTACGCTCAAGTTAAGAATTCATAAAGGTGCAGTGTGTAGGGTTGAGTTGAATCTGTAGTTGCAGACAGCAACTCCCTGGAAACTACGGTCACTGCGAAACGTGCAATAAGGCAAATGACCTACCTCAAGATAGTTTTTGTTGATATAAACAGCTTATTTTAAGGTAACAAAAATAGAACGATTCCTATGATCAGGTGATTGTACAGTAATGAAATCATAGCTATGAATATTATATTTAATTTCTGCCTCCTAAATATGACACACTGGAGTTTTAATGTTTTATACATACAAGATGTCAGTTGATGTAGACACTGGAGCCTTGATTGTCAGATAAGTGCAAATAAAAGTGCTAAAGCCTTAAAAGCCTTATCACACAGAAGTGGTTCTGCACACGCAGTCTATTACAAGATTAGATTAGATTAGATTGTTGTCATTTTGTGATATTTTCTGATGATTTTTGACAAGGCTTAATAATCTTGTTTTGTTGTGTACTGTATATCCCATTTTCTTGATACAAACCAATGTCCTTTGTATTGTATTACTGCACAAGATGACTGTTTCTGCATTTGAGAATATGTATTCATTCAACTTAATACAATGGATGGCATACAAATAAATATCTTATCAACCAACATTTTCTGGTGCAAAATTTTGGCCAATTATTGTAAAATAAAAGTTGTGTGGTTCATTAAATTTAAGAACCACTGATATTAATATACTAATTTTGCATCCTGCAGGCAATATCACTGTGGTACAAACCATCTAATCCTCGGTTTAGACCTATAAAGCCAAATAAGTCTCATTACTCTGTGTGTAAAACATCAACTGCTACAGTCCTGTAGTTTAATTGAACACGGGGCTGTGGGTGATGATTCTCTCCATAGTTTTTACTGCCACCTAATGGCTTAGCAGTTTAGTCCTTAAAATATTTCATTCTGTTATGATATCACATCAACATTGAGAGCGGTCTCAATGTCGTGAAATTTAGGTATAAGCATGAGCATGAGGTCTACAGTATTTGTGCGTGTATGATGAAAGAGAGCGGTTGTGCCAGACAGACATAACTGTGGGTGAACTGACATGTACAAACCACAGTGAGATTAAAATTTTGACTAAAAAGGGGAAGTTGGTCAGTTGGCTTCTGAATGCCATTCCCACTCTGGCCTCAGAGTATTTTGCAACACATCTTTATCATTAAGTAGTTTTGTGGTAATTATATTTCATGTTCAGTAAGGGCATCATTTTAAAGTCTTGCTTGTGCCCATAATCAGTATCTTAATTTCACTGTGAAATAAATGACTATAGAAACTATAGCAAAAGGGTAAAGCCACTGGCCTTACTTTGGGTACACACACACACACCAGGCTTCTGAATAATAAAATTCTGAATTTTCATTTTGTTTGAAATGTATAATGTTGCCATTAGTGATTATGTAAAGATAACCAAGTTTGAATCCAAGAATGACTCGAAGAAAGGCTTGTTAGTTCAAGTTTTCTCTCTTCACCTATATACGTAAACGAGGATCAAATGAAAACTGCACTAAATCAAGGTATTAAGTGTCATTGTGTTAATTGCCAAATATGGCAAACCTTTTACAGAGGGTGAGTTTGTGTGGGTGACAGGGGAATAAACTTTTATTTCCTCTCTTTTGCCTGCAATGAAAGTGGATATATACTGTATGTCTGACACTGTCCAGTTGCTCAATTTGGAGTTGATGATTACAGAAGAGTTGCTCGACCTCGGCAGTCTCAAAGACCAGAAAAGAGCAGTGGATTTTTTTTACTTTATTTGACTGACTGTTGAGCTGTTCAGCTAAGAAATTCAAACATTGTAAAGAAAATACTGAGCTTGTTCGACTCATATTTGTATTAGACATTCACTGTTAAGAAAGTTAAGTAACAGATCTCCACCTACATAACCACTGCTCTATTGAACTCCATCTGCCTCCTGGTCTGTGGACTGCATGTGGATCCACGCTTTGAAATAAAATATTAAAGAATGATCTGGCCAAAATATGAACCCAGCATACACCAGATCTTTCTTGGAGCAGCTTAAGGAGGTGCGTTCATGGGTAAGAACTTAGCAGTGTTTGCCAGTCTCAAGAAAACTTCAGTTACCACCTCAGTCTGTGTGCTAACCTCCAGTGTTCTTGATAGCTTCCTTGCAGCTAATCTCAAGTCTGACTCCCTGTCAGCTAGAGTAAGGTTCTTGGTCTTACACTGCATTCAGAGCAGTCTGAATTCTGAGCTTTTTTCTCAGGGGATTATTACTATTATTATTAATATCTGCACAATAATACACCACAGACCTGCATAAGAATGTGTGTATGTCGACTGTAGTGTGTGGTGGCAATTTCCTTAATAAAGTATGCAAAGTATGATCTTGTCTTTCTGTAAGGTTTTATTCAAGTCATCCATGAATGGTCTCAACGCAACCGTCACACACTCTCATATGTGAAAGTCCGAAGAGCCCCGATTAGAAGCAGTAGGGTTTTATCCCAGTTACACATTCCTAAGTTCTGGGACAGTAAACAGACAGATAGTGTGGTGAGATGATCATGTCCTTGGCTTCTTAGTGAAGTCTCAACATCCCGCTGTTTACTTGGACATAGAGTGTAGATAGAAAGAGGGCTAAAGGTTGTATGCATATAATATCCTCTTTAACAGTTGCGTATGGTTTTACAATGACCAGGTCAAAGGGTTGTATAGGTTCTTAAAAATTGCCATTACAAAGTCAAATAAAAATTAAAAAAAGAAACAAACTGCTTCTTTGTGTGATGCCACAACACTTTTTTACATCATGCCCACGCCACTTGATAAATGACTGAGGATATATGAAGATCCTTCAGGTGAAGACGCGAGGAAGCATAAGCATGTTCATGAATGCATGTTACTAATTTAACTTCTTCCCCAGGGTTTTTGTGCTTTCTCATCTTGCAGGTTCTCATAGATTGTGGTTGTGCCAGCAGCCATGGTCCTGCCATTATTATAATTATCATTATTATTATTATTAATAATAATAATAATAATAATAATAGTACTACTAGTAGTATTGTTGTTGTTGTTTTTGTATTTTATCGTTGGTTTTTGATAATCCTATGTCAAACAGAGCAGTTATATAGGTCTAACATATAATAAGTTAATATATTACCGTTAACTTCACTCCAGCCTTATTCCACTGCATTACTTTGTAATTACACTGTAAAACTGACTTCTCTGACATCTCAAGACCAAATCCTTCAAGTATTGATTTGATTTTATTGATATTCCTTTTCTGTATTATTATAGAGAAAAACACATTCTTGTTACTGGAGCTCGTTCAACATCTAGTGGTAAATGAGTGTAGATCACCACTAGATGGTAGACTCAACTGCTGTATAAAGTGTTTGACTACACTGCTCTATGTCATTGACAACATATTCTTTCTATTGACAATGTAAAATTTGTGAATGTAAATTCCACTCTGCAGTATGTTTAGGTCACGTGAAAGAGCAATTGTGACAATAGCTTGATTATAGAGTGCCTCAGTGCCAATACTCAAGCATGACATTGTTGTTGTTGGTGCTAATTCTCAGCTGTGCCATCAGCAGCTCAAGCTGCCAGTCCAGCAGTGCGGGGTATTGTCTTACAAGAACAAGGAACTTGAACTTTTCTGCTCTTCACATGAAAAGCCACTCTGTTTTCATTTTGTGGTTTGCATACTGATATTGGGAGGTCCGGTGTGACTTCTTAATACTACCTCACAGTACAGGCCTCTACTTACCACTTTTTTTTGTAGTGTGGTGATTTCTTTTAATTTTTTTAAAATACAAGGAACATGAGAAAAGTGGTGCAATCAGAACTCATTTATTCTTTATTCCACTCATGTTACATGGGGAATAGAGAAACTAAAATACTACAATTTAACTACATTGTTGAAGAAGGATTCACTCCTCGTCATGTGCTTTCTGTACAAAGAAGAAATATTAGATAGATTTTTTATTCCTGAATCACAGAAATTACTCATTGTATATTGCATGCAATGTTGTGAATGATTACTGACCTTAGCACCAGAGTCACGGCTCCTTGCTCTCAGCTTGTTGACCTGAGACTCTGCAATGTCGGCCCTCTCTTCTGCTTCCTCAAGCTCATGCTGTAACTTGCGCAACTTTCCCAGATTTGCATTGGACTGTTCCTCCTAAAAAATATGAGTATGGAAAATTCAGAGCTGATTCATAAAAATGGAAAAGGTTTAAGTAAATGAAGGTATAGTATTTTCACTTACAGCCTCCTCTGTAGCTCGCTTATAGGATTTAACTTTCAGTTGCAGCTTATCCACCAGGTCCTGCAGACGGCTCAGATTCTTTTTATCCTCGTCCGTCTGTTAAATTATTACACATTACTTGCTAAAGCATGACTTTTTATGGTTGCTTAATGTTTATCAGAGTCATTATGTGTGGAGCATATACCTGGTAGGTGAGCTCTTTGATGCGCCTCTCATACTTGCGTATACCTTTCACTGAGTCACTGCTTCTCTTTTGTTCCATATCCACCTCAGTTTCCAACTCTCTCACCTTGAAACCAACAGTTATGGATGCAGCTTTTATACCTTTGTTAAAACCAGAGAATCCTGTATTGTGCACTAGTACTGTAAGGCAATACAGTGAAAGTTTAAAATTCTCACCCTGGCCTCCAGCTTCTGGATCTGCTTCTTGCCACCTTTCATGGCTATTTGCTCAGCTTCATCCAGACGGTGCTGCAGGTCTTTGATGGTTTGTTCCATGTTTTTCTTCATACGCTCCAGGTGAGCGCAGGTGTCCTGCTCCTTCTTTAGCTCTTCTGCCATCATGGCAGCATCAGTCACAGCCTTCTTCGCCTTCTCCTCAGCATTTCTGCACTCCTGCACTGCCTCCTCCACTTCATTCTGAAGCTGAGCTGTGTCTCCCTCCAGCTTCTTCTTCTGGTTCAGCAGGCTGGTGTTCTGCAGAAAAGTGTTTTACAGTGAACACTTGTTGAAACATAAATTACCCAGGACATATTGGCTCATTATTATACTGTATAGTGACTACAGATTTGGACATACCTGAGAATGCAGCAGCTGAACTCTCTCACTGACATCCAGCAGTTCCTGCTCAGCAAGTTTACGACCTCTTTCAGTCTGCTCCACCACAGACCTCAGCTCATCAAGTTCAGCCTGCAGCAGGTTGTTACGTCTCTCGACAATGGCAATGTTCTCCTTCAGATCATCATTGGCACGGAGAGTATCATCCAGCTGCAGCTGTGAGTCCTGTTCAGAAAGGTGTTTTGGAAATATTTAAATCTTTATTTTAATAATTAAAAGAAGGAAGAATACAATGCAGAAACATACTTCCATCAATGATGACCATCTATAGTACCTTCAGATGAGTATGGACTCCCTTGAGCTGTTTCTGAGCCTCTGCTGCCTGCCTGTTGGCCTGGCTCAGCTGGATCTCCATCTCATTGAGATCTCCCTCCATCTTCTTCTTCACTCTGAGAGCCTCATTTCTGCTGCGAGTCTCAGACTCCAGAGAGGTCTGCAGAGTGTCCACAACTCTCTGATTGTTACGCTTGGCCTGCTCCATCTCCTCCTCCTTCTCAGCCAGCTTTCGCTCGATGTCAGCCTTCACCTGGTT